GCAGTCCTCAGAATATCAGAGAGTGGGTCCAATGCTGTGTGTGTTCAGTAATGAAAATGTGGCTGTTTTGGCTGGATGCTGGAAAACAACAGTTTTGCACTTGGATTTCAAACTGGGAGACCTCGGAAATAAAGAATTGGCTGTCCAGTCCCAGCTAATATTTTTCCAGAATCCTCATAGTTATCCTTTCACTTCTTTATATTATGCATACCTCAGATTGGAGGAAAGCTAAAGCTTTTGTAACTGTTATCCTTATAATGGTTTAAAATATGTGAACTTAAAATTACAGGTGGACAATCAGAACTAGAATTTATATAAAACTATTTTTTGTTTGTTTTTTTTTCCCAATAAGGTCAGCTCCGAAATTCAAATGCTGGAACTTGAAAATGTATCACATTGTTCAATTCTACATTAACTCAGTTCTATATGTGCTTTAAACAATGGAATTCTCTTAACTGGCAAACTTTTTATTAAACTCCACATGTTCTGAGTTTTGGGTTGTAAAATCACTTCAGTTACTGGTAGGTTCTCACCTACACTGCAAGTTTTACAAAGATTTTGTCATCTCTCAGTGATGGGAGGAGGCTACAGCCAATCTTCATAGCTGGATAAGCAGTTGCCATCTAGTCATTAGCCCTTTGCTACCATCAACAAGATGATGGGAGGAAAAAAAGACAATTAATGGCTAGGGTACAGTCACTAAATGTTGATTTAATTCACAGGTCGCGAGAAGTGACCAACAGAAGAAAAAAAAGAAGCAGTAGAAATAAAACAAATAATTACAAAATAATAAATAATATTTATTTATGTATTTAATATATGTAAAATATAAATATAGATGTACTCTTATTTTTTTTATTTTTTTTTACAACTTTACCTCTTTTTTTCCCACCATTGGTTACTTTTCCTCATTTGAACTGTGAACAAAATGTCAGGAAAATACTAAATATTTATATTACGTAAGAACAACGAAAATGGGGTAGAAAATCCACTCACAGATAGTAGGTGGAACATCCAACCTAGAACAGAACGGATGAATGACCTCAAGCTATATACACCACTGTTCCAGTTATCATTCTAGCCATCCGTTTCTGTTTTTTACTCTATTTACAAACGACGATAGACTCCTTCCCCTTAGGTGAGTGTTGTCATCATGCCCACCTCCCCTGATTGGTCCGGACGACAGGGGAGGCAATATGCCACGCTTTCCGATTTGTAGGTTCTGGAGGTCTTACCTCAAGGGGAGTGTACTCACTCCTTTATAAATGGTTCCTGATTCATATACCGGCTAGCTCTTGACAAAGGCGTACTGAAACGCCGAAACGGGTTTCGAGCTGATAATAGCCGATGCTTCTACTCTGAATTGAGTTTTCACTTTTTCTTTTTTTACTCTACCTGGGCTCCCACGGTGTTTAATATGTGCTGAAGCCCCCATTATAGCTTTCTAGGGATTTTTGTTAGGCTGCCATAAAGCAGCAGTGAGTTTTGCCGTTTGGGCTAGACAGTTAGTCTAGGGCGTCCTGGGGTACCTCAATACTGGGAGGATCTCTACCTAAGATAAATCTACCATATTGAAAGGCAGGTTTACCATTTATTACTCATTTGTTCTTGTAACCTTCACTTTGGCTACTTGTGTTAAGTTAAAGTGTGACAGGGGCTACCTTACTCTCTGCTCTTGATAAGGATGAATGCTCTACCCACTTTATATTAATATACTCTGACTACCTTTCATCCTCCACTCTATAGGGAGGTACTGGTAATACCTAGACACCTCAGGACTTAGTGACTATATACTTGTGACTACAGCTCTGCCTGAATTTTTATTATTTTTTGTTGTCGGCACCATAACCACTGCTAGACACCTACTATCCCATTTATTGGACCTCCACTTCTGTTTAGCACTATTTTTTCTTTTACTGCATGACCAGATTAGACCGTGTTGTCACACATTTATTAAGGGACCTAGGTGACACTATTTTGACCTCTTTAGAGGTTCATAATACTCTCTCACCTGAACCCTATGTTTAGTAATGTGACTTTTTAGGATTAGCCTGCCCTTTTATAGGTTTTGGTGTTCACTCTATCAATGTTTAATACACATTTTTTTTGTGTATTTAGTATATATATTTTGTTTAGTATTTTTGTAATAAAAGTTTATTTCCCCATTTGTGAGTGGATGTTCTACCCCATTTTCGTTGTTCTTATTGTTGTAATTTTCTGGGGTTAAGCCCCCAATGCCTCCTGTAACCTTCTCTGGGTTAGTGGTAGTGGTTCATTCCACTCCATAACCCCTTCCCTCTTTTTTCTAATTTATATTACATATATAATTTGAAGTATTCTGATTGTACCATTTTCACATCCTCTTTTTTTATTCTTTATTTTTGTAGTTCATTGCAGATAACGAGAAAATACATTGCAAACAGAAAATACACTGCAAACAGTATTTGAAAAGGGTAAGCTGACAGTGTATATATGAGAATAACAGCTAAAGGTAGTAAGCCCAGAGAAATGAAACAGATACATAGATAGATGAGGGAAAAAAAATATATAGGAACTGTTTGGACTGCTGCTTTTAGTCAGGCAGGTGATGAGATGCAATACCGGCCAGTACACAGCGCTCCACTCAGCCAATGCCGTCCGTGGGCAAGAATAGTCCCCCATGTCTGTGCCAGTCTTCGGGCTCAGCGTTGGAAATGTAGGCCAGTGACCCGGCATCTGCCATCGGTACCAGAACTGCCGTTCATCCAGTTTTAGTAGCTCCACAG